AAATGTAATATCGAATAAAGTCATCCAGAAAACTATCCTAATCCTAACCCTACATATAACCCTAATTCCAAACCTAAACCTTAACCATAAACCCTAACATTAATTTTAACCCTAACCCTACTGTCATTCTAACCCTAAAAAAAAGGGGTGGTGGTGGTGGTGGTGATTACTCTTATGTAGGATGTGGGTGGTATTGACTGACAGGGGACCCAAGGCTGGCTTCTGAGATACTGGTAATGTTTCTTGATCTCAGTGTGAGTTACAAAAGGGGTTCACTTTGTGAAAATATATTAAACTGTATGAAATTGCCCTCTTTTATAGAGATATTACATTTTATTCTTCAATACATATCTCCATTATATGTTACACTTCAATAAAATAGAAGGAAAATGGGTCTTGATCCATTGCAACCCAATTAAAAACAAAATCCACTCTCTAGAGACACTTTCACAACCCAGGGCAATTTCATTTGCCTTTTACCCAGGACAAAAGAAACTTCCTCAGAAAAAAAAATAATACCTTTACCTGATGAAGTCACAAGGAAAAAAATTACAAACATTCAAATATGACAAATACCAGCAGTGATGTTAACAGTATTTTATAAACATGAGTTTTGAGTTTCCAAAAAGAATACCAGAAGAATCTGTTGATCAATGAAAAATATTGATCAGTGAAAATTATTAGAGTTACTGCAGTAAGAAAGGACACAACCTTGGTAGAGTCTGAATAATGTCTCAGAAAAGGAAAATCAAGAAAAGATATGTATAGAGTGTTAGGGCCTAGGCTAAGTGATTTTAAAGTGAGTCTTGGAGAGCAGGAAACTGGTTGGGATTGGGTAAAATTAATGATATAACAGTGAAACTAGGACCTTAAAGCAAGTTCTTGAGAAGTGAGCTATTTTAGTTGATTTACAATTTTAACCTCCAAAAGCAATTATTGCCTGGATCGAAAGCCAAGCTAGATTGGCCTTGTCCCAGTACTGGGTAGTCAAAATCAGGAAAGTATGATTTGTTCTAGAATTGATTAGCACAGGGACAAGAAAGTATGTTGTTTGCAGTGATGTATATTTATATTTTCAACTACAAAACATTTATAACCACAGTAAGTAAAAATGTAGATTAATAATACATGTTTAAAATATATTGTTATTCAAATATAAATTACTAAGAAATAATATTAATAAAAATAAAGTTTTCAAAAATAATAACCTAAACATTAAATAAAAATAAAACAAAACAAAAATAAAATTTAAAAGTTTCAAGGACTGTACCTTTTTCTAGATAATGAGCTGTATGTAGTTTGTTTTAAAGAATGCCTTTCTGGTTTAACTTTGTCTTTCTTAGTTATATCGTAAAGAGATTAAGATTCCAATTCAGTTACTAGGATCATTTTCAGTTCTATCGTGTTAATATTCTTGTTCAGAAAGTCTTTGATTAAAGTACAGATTATTCTTGCAATAGAAAGTTTGGTTAATTGTCACTTTTTCCCTCCTCTTCAAGATTATGGAAACAAGAGAAAATTTGCTTCATTCAAATCTTATTTCACTGTAAAATAAATTTCTCTCTTAAGTCACTGTTACTTTGAATCTCTGCTACATGTAGCCAAATCTAATTATTAGAGAAACTCTAATAAAAGATATGCAAACTTAATAAATAAAATTATAAAGCTGTATCAAAAACATTAATTTAGACCAAAATGGTATCTTACTATCCATTTCCTTCTGTGCTTCATTTTTGTCACTCAATATTATATTTTTTCTATTTTCACTGACGTGTATATCAGGAGTTATGCCCTGGAGGATATCACACATGGCCACATGGAGACAAACACAGTATTGCTTGTATAGAATTAAATTGGGCACAATTTGAATGCTCATAAATAGATAAAACATCAACATTGTATTAAAAAGTCAGTTATCCCAAAATTATTCTATAAGTACAATAAAATTTCAATTATAATTCAAGAGGGTGTTTTAGTGAAATTTGACAAGCTAATTCTAAAATGAATAGGGAAAAGCTAAGGGCCAAGTATAGACAAGACAGCTTTTAAAGAAAAGAATACATTAGGGAGACAGGCCCTTCTAAATATAAAGACTTATTATAAAGCTACAGTAACTGAGACTGTCAGTGAATAGTAACTGAGATAGTTACAGTTATAGTAAGTGACATCAGAAAGGCAGAGAAATCAGAACTAGATCCGCACATACAAGGAAGCCTCATGTCAGCAGAGAAGGCGCTGTAGACCAGTCATTAAAGGACCATCTATTGATAATTATTTCTGAGATAAATTGCAATACACATAGAGGGGCAGTCTTAATATTGGGACATGTCGATCCTATCCAAATTATTCTATAAATTCAATGCAATGTTAATTAAGATTTTAGCAGGATTATCGAGGTGAGTTTTCTTAACGTATAGATATATATATGCATATGCACACACACACACACATCAAAGTATAAGGGAAAAGATGGATAAATGTAGCTATATTAAAACTTAGAATGTCTTTACAATAAAATATAATAAAATCGAATGTAAAATATAATGAATAGAAAACTATAAAACGTGAACAATTTACAGAAGAGGAAAGCAAAAGAAAAAAGCAATAAAAATAATAAAAGGTATTTAACCTCATTGTTAACCAGGAAAATGATAATTAAAATAACAGGATAGCATTTCAATCATCACATTGGTAAAATTAAAAAGCCAAATCAAATCTTTACCACTTGGTAATTAAAATATCATACATACTCATCACAATCACTATATATTAAATACAAAGCCCAAATAGCAAAGAGTTAAAACATTGCGCTTATGGAATATAACCAGTGCTGTAGAGGTAAATTAATAGGTTTCCCTGATTTCATTATTTGAAATGAATAATAAAAAAATTTTAACTACCCTTCTAATTGAAGAAGTTAGGAAAAAGGTCAAACAGGAAAATAGAAGGAGAAAAATAATTAAAATAATGCACAATCTAGTAATTGCAAAATAGAAAAACAGGACTGATAAGTAAATTCAAAGATGTTTGGAAGGGGAGGGGAAAACAAATAATAAAATAATAAAATTAAATATAAAATCTGAAAAATAATATAAAAGAAAAAACAAAAAATTAAATTAGGAATGAAAGAAGAGATAGATCTAAATATTCTTGAATCCCCACTATTCAGGCAATCCCAAAAGAAGTAAATCGTTCTCTTGGAAAATTAAAATTGCCAAAACAGATTTAAGAACTATTACAAACATGAATAAACCTATGAAATGTTACTAAAGATTGCCTCCAAAAATAGTTGTAAAGCCAGAGAATACTACTGAGAAGGGCAAACTGTCAAGTACTAAGTATTTTCTATGCTGTATAAACACCTCTAGGGCCTAAGAAAAGTTGGAATGCTATCCAATCCATTTGAGGTAGCTAGCAATAACCCTAGTATAAAACGAACATAGCTGAGTTTATAAAAATAAAAGTAAACCTCAGACTACCAAATGTGCAATATTAATTATAGATCGTTACATGGACAATCCTTTCTAGAAATATCTTAACAAAGGGTTTGAAACAAAGACTTCTGGCTGAGCTGTGAAAAATTCCTCAAAATAATTAATACATTTCTTGAGTATTACTGAAAACCTGAAAAACTTAGGGGAGAATTTTGGCCAGGTATCACAAGAAATTTGTACTTGTAGACTTCTAAGAATAAACGTGTACTATTTTCAGGCAGTTAACTGCCAGCATTAAGGCATTAGGGCTTATCAATATCAAATCTTAATGATTAATAGTTTTTCCTTTTGCAAACAAAGAAGAAAATTTCACCAAATATGATCTGAGTTCGTTATTAGTATCTGATATGGTTAAGCAAAAACAACAACAACAACAAAAAAAAACAGGATGAGATGAGGTGCAAGGACACAGCTACTATAACATAAAGAACACTGAACTGAGAACAGACACAGGGATTCTAGTCCCACCTCAGCTACTAACAACAGTACATAATTGCAGTAAAGTCACCTCAACTATCTGGACCTAAATCTCTTTCAGGTCAAAAAATTCTATTTTTCAAATTATCTATGATGTCACTTTGGAAGACAGACCTGACCCCACGAGCATAAAATTCAGAAAAGATAAGTTTTTGCTAATGCAGGGATGGAAACTTAATCCAGAAACATTGAGGACGTTGCATTGGCGTAGCGTTGAATCAGGGCACAGCAACTGAAGGCTCCGAAGGCCTACTCCACACTCGCGTGCTATAAGCACTCTGGCTGCCAAGACTATCAGACAAGTTGAAGTGCAATACTGGACACAACTGACAAAAAATTGTAGCCCAGTTTCTCAAGGCTTGACAACATTCAATTTTATAGCCTCTATCTGACAAAAGACTGCATGCCTGTGTGCATTCAAGCCACATTATAGTAACAAAACAATATTATCATAAAATATATGTATCGTAAAGTTCACCATTCTAACCATTTCTAAATACACCATTGAGTGGCCTTTACCACATTCACAATGTTTGCCACTATCGCCGCTTAATTTTTTTTCACGGACATTCACAATTCATTCATCTGTAAATGTAGCAGGCCCTATGCTAAACTCCGGGGAGTACGTGTTAAACAAAACTTGACTTGATCAATGCCTTCGTGCGTCCTTCATGGACCACGGAGTGTGTTTTGTTTAGTGTTTACGGTCAGTAACGCGAAGTCTTTATGTACATGGGAAGTAGGGCAGGGTTGAAATGGGCAGTGGCTACACTGCAGAAGTCAGGGAGCAGCGCGGGGAACCGGCGGACTTCCAACGCCCACTTCCAGAATCAGAGGAAAGCCAGATTTCAGCGCCGGAGAAGGCGCGGGGCCTGTGGAAAGGCGGGTCGTGGGGGCTGCGAGAGGGGCTTGGGAGACGCTGAGGGCGGGGCATGGGCGGGGCTTGAGCAGGGCTCGGGCGGGGACGCTCGGGGGCTGCGGGCGGGGCCTGAG